TAATGCATGCTTTTTTTGAGGAAGGTTGTTTTGAGAAGAGTTTGAATGCCACATTCATTACTCTTATACCTAAGAAGGGTGGAGCGGTTAAAGCTAGAGATTTCAGACCAATTAGCTTGGCGGGCTCTGTTTATAAGATTATTTTGAAGATCTTGGCTATTAGGCTAAGAAAAGTTTTGGATGGGGTCATCTCGGAGTCCTAAAATGCGTTCGTTGGAGGAAGGCAAATTCTCGACCCAGTTCTTATTGCCAGTGAATGTATTGATGCAAGAGTCAAGAGTGGTGAACCGGGGATTGTGTGTAAATTGGATATTGAAAAAGCATATGACCATGTGAATTGGGTGTTCTTATTGTATTTGTTGGAGAGGATGGGGTTTGGAACCAAATGGAGAGGGTGGATTTATCAATGTATTTCGACGGCTCGTTTTTCTATCTTAGTGAATGGGTCACCGGCAGGTTTCTTCGCAAGTTTGAGAGGTTTATGTCAAGGGGACCCATTGTCCCCATTTCTCTTCATTATTGTAATGGAAGCATTTAGTAGTCTCATGAAAAGGGCAGAGGTATTGGGCTTTATTCAAGGTTTTCGGTGGGGCGTGTGCCAAACCAGATTGTTACATCTCACTTGTTGTTTGCTGATGACACTATTGTTTTTTGTGATGCGAGTGTGAATCAATTGAGACACTTGAGGTGTGTGTTGACCTGTTTTCAAGTTGTTTCGGAGCTGAAGATTAATATTGGGAAGAGTGTGATTGTTCTAGTAGGGGAGGTGGATCATATTCATGAGTTGGCAGCTATTTTGGGTTGCGGAGTGGAGGCTTTTCCGTTTTCTTATTTGGGGTTGCCCTTGGGTGCTTCCACGAGGAGAATTGCTGTTTGGGATCCATTGGTGGAACGTTTTCAAAGAGGTTATCTGGGTGGAAGAAGCAATACTTGTCGAAAGGGGGTAAACTCACATTGCTGAAGAGTACCCTCTCTAATCTTCCTACATATTTTATGTCTTTGTTTCCAATTCCTAGAACAGTGATTAGTAGACTTAACAAGATTCAGGGGAACTCTTGTGAAATGGGAGAAAGTGTGCACCCCTATTCAAAGAGGAGGCTTGGGGCTTTACAGGTTGGAAATGATGAAGGTCACAACTAGGGTTGCAATTAGTGTGGTCTAGCCTGAGCCAAAGCAAGACCCACCCATAGTTTGGTCAGTCTTGGCTAGTCCTTTCTAAACCTATGGATGTGCCTAGGCTAAAAAAGATGAGCCCAACCTGAAATTGGAATGGGCTTTGGCTAAGGCCTTGGGCAACCAAATGAGCCTGACCCCGATCCTATACATACATATGTTGTATTTGTTATAAGTATGTTTATTGTTATGCTTATATGTATATTATTTTCCTTCTTCAGTTTGTTTGCCAACGTATGGAAATCGTGATATTTGAATAACTGTCTTTTTCAGCCCAAAGCAATACAACCTAATGGAGCCTGATGTTCTTCCGTCAACTCGAGACCATGCCAAGCTCATAAAGTTGGTCTGGAGCTTAATTGAGCTTGAATTGCTCGTGTTTAAGGTCAGGTCAATGGGCTTCACAAAAATGCTAAAGCTCAGGTTGAGCCTGTGCAGATGTCAAGCATGGCCGAACCTATTTGAATTTATTCCTAGTCATAGCTTAATGTTCTCACAGTGTGGTGCATTGATTACAATGTGATTGATAAGGTCATAATCAGGGCTGCAACTCGAGTAGGCTAACTTGAGTTGACTCTAGTGCAACCCAATGTTTGGTCGGATTTGGATGGTCCATTCTAAACCTCACGATGGGCCTAGGCTAGAAAACACAAACCAACATGAGGTTGGTCTTGGCTTCAGCTGATTTTTCAGGCAATCTAGTACAACCTGACCCCGACCCTGTTCAAAATTGTATTCATTGTAGGTTATTTAGATATCTTTATCAATATGTAGATTGTACAAAATAATAATATGTTCCTCTCTTTTGGTTGCCAAGAAAAACAAGATGTAACAATGTAAATAACCTATGTTCAGCCAAAATTGGTACAACCCAATGGCCCCGCATTCTTCTCAAAGCCTGAACCTAACTTGAACTCGTAAAGTTGATTTGGGTTTGGATTCAGGCATGAGTTACTCAGGCTTAAGGTCAGGCTCGGTAGGATTAGTTAGAATATGCTAAAGCTCGGGCCGGCTAGAAGTTAAACTTAGCCGGACCTGTATGAGTTGCAGCCCTATTCATAACTGACTCTGCTCACAATGTTACTGAAGATCATGATGTAAAAGATCTCACCTTGCTCTCTAGATCAATCCATCACGGCAGGAGAGTTATATGATTGCAGGGATTACAAGAGCTACATGCACAATATTACAACTGCTCACAGTTCTCTAGTAGCTCACTAGGTACTGCTTCTAACTCAGGCAAGTTCCTTCGACACTTGGCTCATCGAGAACCACATATCTACACAGCTATAGATCATGGACCATAACTTGGAACTCCAGAGAAAGCATATTTTGCTCCAGCTTCAAGCTTCAGTTGTTTGACAGCCATGGGAGAGATTCCTTAAGATCACACATTTGGCTTTACCTCTTTTACATCTGCCGTACAGAATGGATTCTTTCATGTATTTTTTCACGGCTAACTTTAAATGAATTATGCTCAATTACCTCGATCCTTTCTCATCATACTAGACTACATTTTAAAGCAATGTCGTTGCTTTAATTTTATGATATATTATACTTACCAATTGAACAATATTTCCAATTTAATTGATTCCTGTGCCCCAATATGCTATAACAATTTTGAACTGCTTCTTGGTTACAAGACCTGTGTGATATCAGATACTTGTCTTAACTTTTAGCTTCCTGCTTTGCATTATGGAATCATCAATCTATAAGCCCCTTTTAAATTTTCTCATGAGGAATCTAAGGACCATTACCCTAGGCACGTCGACAACTGTGTGATATCAGATACTCTTCTCAACTTTTAGCTTTCAGCTTTGCATTATGGAAACATTAATCTATAATCCCCTTTTAAATTTTCTCACGAGGAATCTAAGGACCGTTACCCCAGGCACTCCATAATTCCTGCGAAAATTTGATAAATAGTTTGCTCCAGTGAAGATAGGATCTTAGTCCATAGGGTTATTAGGGTCCCAACCGTTCAGCCCATTCACTTGCAATATTGTTGCAAAATTGAATGAAGCAACATCACCATGACATGTCCTAACTGGCTCGTGCCCATTCAGCATTTCCGACTCAGTGGATGGCGAAATCCGCCTACTCTTGGTCGGTTAAGACAGAATGAAGAGCACTAGCTCTGATACCAATTGTTGCCTAGGCAACAACTTTTCTGTCTAAGAAGACTCTGTAGCGTGCATAGGGGCTTTCTCCTCAAAAGCACAGACTCGGTTAGATAGGGAGAATGATGTTGAAAAATACAAGAGTCAAAATAGGAACAAGCATCACCGCAAGTGGAAATTTTTTTAAAGGGAAGGTATGGAAGATTCTTGCTTGAAGACGAGCCAGATGGTCGACCGTGGTATCATGATATCACATTCGATTAGATCTAGAGGAGGAGAAAAGGGGGTGGGGGTTGTTAGTGAGTTCGTCTTGTGAATATTAATTTGAAACTAACTTTACCTTTATTCTTTATTTAAAATTCTGCTAATTGGTTTGATCTGTGTTCCATTGTTATCACACAAATGCATAAAGTAACAAATAAAGTATAACAGACACCAGAACTTTTACATGGAAAACCCTAAACAGAAAAAAATCATGGGATGTTGTCCAACCATGAACAGCCCACTAGGAGAAAGATTTTACAACCAGGTTATCAATTTCGCACCCTATAGTTACCTCCTAATGCATGCATGTTGACGCTAAACTATCTACTTGAGTCTCAGGCAGTCCGCTCCGTCAACAGATCTGCTCCTCACACAGTCTGCTTCTCCATGGTTTGTTCAATCCTTGATCACTTCGTTCTACTCGGTTGAATTGCTCTTTGTTATTAATTCTGATGAACTCTTACTCAATTACACATTTTAAATAATCAATGGGAAACCCTAGACCGAGAAACAAGGCTCTCTTTCTCTCTCAAAATAGGAATTCTCTCTATAGATTATGGAGAGACATAATTGGGTACTCTAGACTGACTAAAGCTTCATATTTGCAGCCAATATAGGAGACTTGTGTAGTATGGTAAGTAGAATCCCTTTAAAAGTTCAATTTGAGAGAATTTGCAAAAATAAGTTTTCATAGTGTTCTATTGATTGAGAGCTATCAGTCTTCACACTATCCTTGCTTTGATCGATCGATCCATCGGTCAAGCCACTTCATTTTGATTTTTCTAGAAATATGTGGATCATTCCACCCTTTGATCAATTTAATACTGGACTTCCCTCGATAGATCGATTGAGAGAATTTGCAAAACTCAGTTTTCATAGTGTTCGATTGATTGAGAGCTATCAGTCAATACACTATCCATGCTTTGATCGTACGATCCATCGGTCGAGCCACTTCAATATGATTTTTCCTTGGAAACCTGTGGATCGATCCACCCTTTGATTGATTTATGCTTAAGTTCCCTCGATTGATTGGCCAATGATAATCGCTGTTTTGTAAAAATTCAGCAATCACTGTTTTGTAAATATTCAGAATTTTAAAAATGATTAAGAAAATTTGGAATAGAAACCTTAATTTTGAAAAACAAGTGAAAACATAATTTTGAGCCAATTAATGACCAAATCTAGGTCAAACAAGGTCTCATTTACCTTTAATTTAGATATGTGATCGATACTTGAGAGATTTGCAACATATTCTTTGCTGATCTTCTTCTCCGTCATCTTTTGAGGTTGTAGACAACCGACTTATGCCATTAACAATCATTACAACCCAAGTTTTGAGTTGAAATTTGTTCATAATCCTAACATCATGGTTAATGATCTTGTACTTTTTTCTCTTGTATTTTCAATTTTTTTTTTTTTTTTAATAATAATCTTTGAATGCAGAGGCCCTCAACTCCAGAACAAAACTTTAAGTTCTGTACAAGAATTGTCTAACTCACGGGGGATCACAACACAGCAGCAAGGAAACAAGAATGTTCAGAATGGAAGACCCCAGAATTCGCATTGCTCAAGCTTGGCAAAAGGAACTCAGGTCAGCTTGGATGAGTTTAAGTATGGATTTCCATCAGATGGCTTATCAATTGCCTCCTATAGATGGTGGGGAAGCAACGGACCGGACCATACTGAGAATATCCGTGTAAATGGAGTCCAAGTCTTCCAAGAACACAAACACCAATCCAAAGAACTGGGGGATGATGGCGCTTGTTCATTATCAGAAAATGGAATAGATGAAAGCAACACTGGTGCCCTTGGTTCTGGTTTATTGTCAGCTGTGAGAAAAAGGGCTGTAGATGGAGGAGGAGATGCACTAAAACTAGGTGTCTATAGGAGATACGGAATAAACAAGCTTGGAAGACGGGAGAGAACACTGCTTCTTCGAATATTCAAATTCCCATTACAAAGCTAGTGATTACATGTTTTTTTCCCTTACCCTTTCCAGAATTCTGCTGGTGCTATCTTTTGGTCTTTAGATTGAGAGCATTTAAATTCATCCGTGAGTTTTAACTGCTGTACTAGGTGCTCAATCTTCAAATATTTATCAAGAGCTTTTGCAAGAAATTTTCTGCACAAGCATAGATACCGTTGAATATGATCTAAAGCGGAAAAAAAGTAATTATCGAAAAAACATAGCAATCATAGTGAATGGTGGATAAATTTCTTGCTCACTTTTCTGTTTATTATTATTATTATTATTATAATTTCATATTGGACATGATAGGCTAGCAAGGTGGGATTCGAATTATAACTCTCACATTGCTGGAGTTCTCCAGCAACCTCCCATTTAAAGGCAGGAAGAAGCTTTTTTCATTCCCCTTCGAAGAGCCAAGACTAGAAGACATGAAGACCTACCTGGTTTTAGGAAGAGGTGATACTAAAGTTGGTTATTATTTGAATACCAAAGGTGGCTATTTCTCTAGCCCTTCTTTTTCTTTCATTTTCTCATCTCTCCATTATGTTTTTTTAGACATAGCTTATTTTCTCTCTCTTTCTCTTGCATGCTAAATTTAGTATATTATTATTATTAATTTTTGAAGAGTCCCAAAATATGTGAGATAATTAAAGTGAGTTCAAATAGAGTGGGATAGTGAGATGGAGAGACTATATTTTGAGGTGAGAGAGAAAAACATCTGTAACGAGAGAGACGAGCAAAGAACAAGTGAGCAAAAAAGATAAAAATAAAGAAGATAAAAGTTAATAAGAGAAGATGAAAAGTTTTATCGGTTCCCTTAATAAAGAAAGTGTCGTTTTCCCATTTACTTGCCGTATTTCCAAAACACAGAACCATATCTTTGTAAAAGTGTGTTCTTTGTCTATGCATTAACGATGATGATGCTACATTTAAATTTTCATCACTAAATAAGAAAAATTAATGATGAAAAATTAATAGGTATGTAATTCAAGAAAAGGAAAATTACTACTATCAATACTATATAAAATAAAATAAAAAACTACTGATTTAGGAAAAAAATTTGTTATTGTTATTGTTTTGGATAATTTCATCATTATATTTTTTTATTTGGGAGAAGATATTTGCACTCCAATTGCACTCTTCTTCTTTTTTTTCTTTAAAGCAAATGACTCTAAGCTAATTAATGCATCATTCCTTATTTTATAATATCATATCTATCTTTTTCACTGTAAACCTTTTAAGGAAGGGATCATCTCCAAAGAAATTTTATCTTTTCTTACCTTAATTATTTTTTTTTTGGGAAAAGAAAATTTATTCTTAGGATGATGGTCAATGTTAAAAGTAGTCACAATTATTCAAATCAGGAAAAAATTATTCAACTTAAATTATGAAGAGTTACTTGTAAATACTTTAAGATGAATTAATACCACGTTATAGTTGTATATAATACCATCTCTTTTTTATTTTTTATTTTCACAAAATCCATGTTCTTGTAATTTTATTATCAAAAGAGTTAGGACTTTATTTATCAACAAGATAAATGTAAAGATTCAAAGAAATAAATTAATTCTTTAAAAATCACATCCCAGAAAAAAAAAAATCCAAAGTAAACTCAAAGCATAAAATAAAAAATGAAATTTTGTAATTACCATTATGTAGGTGCAAGCATTTGCTTCGCTAGGAAAAGTCAAAATAATTGCAACGCACTCAAGGAATCAATGAAGAACAATGAACAACAATTATGGAATTTTGCTCATCCTTTATTGTGAGGACCTTCCCACTATTTATAATGAATTACAACAGTTGAATTAGGGTAGGACTCAGCATTATTTGTCCGTCAAGTTCTTTCTATATGATATTTGTTTCCTTACATAATTACATATGCTTCACATAAATGAATTATAACCATAATATAATTCCTTCTCCAGATGGGATTTAGGCTGCAGAAGTGGGCCAGATCTCCTTCGCAATGTTGGGCTTTTACGCCATGGTGCATCATTCAATTCCATCCTCCATTGGCCTTCGGTATTGGGCCTCATTCTCTGGATCCATGATTCCTTCCTTTGTTTTGGCCCATGTGGTGTGTTTGAAAGTGGCCCCCATACGATGATGTGTCGCGCTTTTATTGGAGGGAGATTTTTCCCTCCACACTTTGCCCCCAATTCCTTCTTAAATTGGATAATAGGCCATATTTTGAAGGGAATTAAGGTGATTGGGAGTTTGCGTGCAGATGAAGAGGCAATCGCTTTGGATCGTACTTGCAACCTTTGGGATTCGTTACAAGATCAGGGTTCTCATTTGCCTCCAGTATTTTTCCCATTCTTTATGTTATTGATCTTCTAGCGATTCCAGGTCAGTGTCTCTTAACTCTTTCTTTCCATCTTATTCAATTTTGAGTTCTGAAGATATCAACGATACAAAACCTTTAAACCACTATGGCTACGAATTCTGATACCACGATCTTTGCTTCTCCGAAACTGGTTTCGCCCTCCACCACCTAAGATAGGGGCTCAACTAATTGGAGATTCTTAATCAAATGAGATAGGAACACCTTTTAAGGCTGAGGAATCCCACTTCCGGGTTTGATGACCCCTTTTCAGAAGCCGAGAGGGGTGTAATCCTAAATGTGGCAAGACAAGCTGTCAAAATTCCTCCTCTTGTGAAGGGATTCAAGATTCCCAAAAGGATGGAACTTAGGGCTTTTCCCCTTGACGCCAATTTTTGTACCAGTGAGAGTGCAGGGAAGACGAACTACTAATGTTGGTTAGACAATTGATTGCTCTCAGTTTTCTCCTTCACCTCTTCTATCATTTAGTTCTGAATCAGCTTGGGTTGGCCCCTCTTCAAGTGAACCCTACTTCTTTCGGATCATCTCATCTTTTCTGGTTATTTAGGAAAATTAAAAAGCTTGACCTCAAAATCATAGACCTTTTAGTGAGTTATCAGGTTTGTAGACATCAAATTAAGTTAGGTAGATACCACTTCTCTCCTAGGTGTAGAATCTGTTATGACCTTCTTACATCTGGAAAGAATTGGAAGGAAAGGATGATTGTTGTGGGTAGTAAGTGGTTCATATCTCAGTCCAGCAAATTTCCAATCCTCATGAAATTTGGCAAACTAGGTATTGGGGACTATCCCACTCTTCATTTTGCTTACTCTGGCTATGTGATCTATGAAGTTTCTCTCATTCGCTTTATTTATGAGTTTCTTGGTTTCATTTCAGTTTCTTTTCTTGCTTCGGTTGCTCAGGACACTTTCATCTTTGAAATCAAACACGTGGAAGAATCCTTCACGTATCAAGGTCTTCATCTCTTCATAAAATCTTGAAAGGCTTGTTTCGGACACTTCTTTAATCAAAGAAATGGATCTTACCATTCCTGATTTTGATATCATAGAACTTACCAAGGAGGAAATGAAGAGGGCGACATATTTCAAGAAAAGAGCTGCTGAGAAAAATCTATTGAGGTTGTGCAGGGGACTGACTCTGTTGAGACTAAGGGGATTGATAAGGTTGAGCCTCTTTAGAAGAAGGCAAAGAATGCTTCAAACCCTAAGGGATCCTCAAGCGCTAAAGGCACTGGCACAAAAAAGGTGAAAAACAAATATGTAGAGGGTGAAGGAGTTAGAGGTTCTTGCCTTTGCTGCTGTAATTAGTGGTAGACCTTGGACCCCTACTTTTTCAAGATCAGATAAATATGTTCTTAATACGAGTGACTCGGTGATAAAGGACCCTTCTGCATCACTCTCAATTGTTAGAGTGACCTTTGACCAAAACCTGGGGATCCGGATCGCTAACCAGGTCTTTACCCGAACCCAAGGTTACACAAGGGTGTTATGGTTATTTCACGTCATTATAATAGTTCTAGAGTCTATAGGGGTATAATGGTCATTTACCATAGTCAAATAATGGTTTAGGACCTAAAAAGGATAAAGTAGTCATTTAGTACATTTATTATGGCTTCAAAATTAATCAGGGGTAAAACTGACATTTCTATGGACATTCTATGCTTTGGTTGAAGTCTAGGGGTAATTCGGTAATTATACTGAAGATGGGATCAAAGTGCAATTTCTAGCTCATCTAACCGGGTACATGATTTCATCTAACCGGTTAGATAGCTTGGTCCAGTGAGCATGCAAAACTGAGGACCCATCTAACTGGTTATATGGCCATCTAATCGGTTAGATAACCCCATCTAACCGGTTAGATAGGAAAATTCATCTAACCCCCTCTTTGCCCCATATAACTAACCGGGTAGATGGGAGCATCTAATCGGTTAGATGGTGCCCAGAAATAAAGTGATCGATTATCACTTCACAAACCTGTTCAAATGCTACCCAAAGTGCATAAACATGAAATATAAATCCACACACATCATCTAACTCAACAACAACACATTTGATCACCAAAACAAGTCTTTGATTCATCATTCAAAAAAAATCTCTATAATCCATTACATACATATCCCAAAAGAATGAATCATGTTCAAAAGAATAAGTTTACAAAATAATGAGGCCTCCATGACTATGATTACAAAGGTTTCTCATGAAGCTAGCAAAAGAATAAGGTTACATGCATTTGATCATTACCTACACAATTCTATTACAAAAGATACCAAAAGTACATAAATCAACTTCTAAGCTTGCGGGGGTGCATCGTCTACAACCGACTTCCCATGTCCTGAAAATATTAAATAAGGGGTGAGCACAACTCTCAATAGGAAATGCCTAAAGCATTAATTTTGGGCTCCCTTGAGTCAACAACCAAAGAGCGGTTAAGAGAAGTCGGGATCATGCACGGGAATGTCAAGAAACAAATAAGTAACATTATCCATTCAAGGCAACAATTTTCACAACTAGTTCATATACATGGATGTAACAATGGTATGAAATATACCACCATCTCGACCATAGTCCTGACCCAACACAACACACACTGAAAACCGCTAACCGAATCTATCAAGGCGAGATTGATTAGCTATCACTGACTCCAAACCGGCAGCCATTTGGGGCCTAATAATCAATGTTACACATCCAAATCCGGCACGCGATCCCTCTAGGTCGAATTAGTCCCGAATTCGCGAAATTCGGTTCCTTTAATAAAACATTTTTCACACCTTTCCCAAACACATCCCATATGACAATTTCACTCCATTTCCCAACCCTGTCCATGCCATGAATTAAATCATGCAATGTTTAAGATCAACATCAACATGCTTTGCAATATTAACAATACTAACAATCTAATTAACATGTTTGCTTTCAAATAAAAGATATCATTAAATTTAACCATGAATCCCAAGATAGCAACTTAACACATAACATGCTTTTATAACCAAATTAGTATTTCAAATATACAGCCAACAACATTAACAACCATAATTTCACCACTAATCACAAAATATCATTTCAACCTCCAAATTATCAATTTGAACATAGTTAGCATGGAACCAAAGTAAGGAACTCAAAGCAAAATGATTTAAACACCCTACCTCAGATGATGAAACCCAAACTCCTAGATCCAAACTCGAAATTCCACCAAATGTGTGCAAGATCGGTATCAAATGAAAGGCCTTGATGAGTTTTCCAAGTTTGTTAGCTATGGTATAGATCAATTCTTG